GCTATGAGATTAACTTGTATGTAGATTTGTGTGCTAAGATGATAATATGACCAATTTTCAAAACCGAAGGGCTAAGTAAACACGACAAGGAAGCGAGTTTTGTGAAGAAGATGGGAAATTGTGTATGGATCTGTTCAGAATGGTTATTTCTTAAGCTGTTAATTTGTGGGTTTTTTGCTTTTGTTAAGCACCAGATCTATTTAGACTTAATCTTATGCCCACCTCCCAAAAAACTCTATGCTGTATGTCTTGCATAGAAATAAACAAGCTGGCACAAAACAGGACATCAGTGACCTGATAATCAAACAGGTTTGACCCTTGTGTCCTTACAAACTTTTATAAAAGTGTGATGCACATGTACTTAGGAGTCACTGTTATGGATTTTAATAGCATCTAAGTAGCTTCCCCTCAGTGGTAGCTTCCCTCTTGTGACGGAGTGAGCTGCACTATCGTTCGTTTGGAAAGTGTGATTCTTGCTGTGTTTACCACACTTGTGAACTCTATTTAAACTCCTTTGTCGCCTGTGTTGGTTTTTTTTTCTTATTTTTAATAAGGGTGACTGAGGTTGCAGAGAAATTAATGTGTGCTGAGTCTGCATAGCAACTTAAGTAGGGTTGCCACAATACACTCCCCTGCTCCCTGGAAAGTCTTTACATAAAGTCAGGGTTCAACCATTTTGTTGCCTTATTGGCTATTGTCAAACTTGTTATAGTGATACTGTCGAACTGCTCAGTTACTACTAATAAAAGCATTGCGGGAAATAATTTTACTGAGGGTCAAGTAGTTAAGAGAGAAGAAGGGTAATAAAAATGACTTACAGGTGATTTGAAAAACAAGAACTGTAATTTTCCAGATGAAATAGTCAAGCTTAGTTCTTCAGAGTTGTCCTAAAACTGACTTCAGTGATGCTGGCCCTTCTGAAGACGGTCATGGCATTAAAGATACTATCCTAAAGCAACACTGAACACACTGATTCAACTCAGCTATAATGCTGTGCTTTGGAGCGATGCATCTCTTCGGGCCAGCGAGCTGACAGCTGGCCCATTGAGTCTAGTTATTGTGGCAACCCTATGCACATAACAACAACTAAATTGAGTTTGTTTTAGTTCGGAGTATGGATATGACGCTTAGGCGCTGACTCGCGTACCAACTTCAACTCCCTCTCCCATCTTTCAACAGGATACCCGCTCACTATGTCTATCCACAGGCTTTTGTGCAGCCCGGAGTGGTAATTCCCCACGTCCAGCCTGCAGCGGCCGCTGCTTCCACTACGCCCTACATCGACTACACCGGAGCTGCGTACGCCCAGTACTCGGCCGCCGCGGCCGCCTATGAGCAGTACCCGTACGCCGCCTCTCCGGCTGCCGCTGCTGGATACGTGGCAGCGGGGGGCTACGGCTACGCGGTGCAGCAGCCCATCACCGCGGCAGCGCCCGGGACCGCCGCGGCAGCCGCCGCGGCTTTCGGCCAGTACCAGCCCCAACAGCTGCAGACAGACCGCATGCAATAGCAGATGGACTCCTGAAGGAAGCTCGCTCTTTCTCTTCCTCTCTCCAGCCTTCCAGTATAAGTAGTTTAACAGAGACAATTGATGTTAACGAAAGGAGCTTTAAGGAAAGCGATGCTATTGGGAAACTAAAGAATTTTTTATTCCACTGTCTTCATACAGTATGCATCCAAATCATGTTGTTAGAGGGGAGGGGTAGTGCGGCATGTCTAGTTTCGAGTATCAAGGCAGAAGAAAATGGGGGGGAAGAATACTGTACCGTCATGGAAGAGTGGCAGGAGTAGCAATGGGACTTCATATTTTCAAACAAACAAACAAGAACCAAAAAAAAAAGCAAAGGTGTACTCTTTACAGTATCAGGGAAGCAAAACTGCCTTTTATAAGTAAGAAAATGGTATTTGAAAAGTTTGAACCAGGGAAAAAACTGAGTCAGCAATACGTAATCTCTATCCATTTTAAGAGGAAACGAACTTAAAGCACTGATTGTCCTTTCTAGCTTTCAAAAGTTGTCTTCGTGAGACAGTACCTTCTCACTGTCTCACTCACGGGCATCGAACAACCCAAGGAAGATGGCCGGATAGTAAGATGGCGGACAGGCACCAAAGTTATTTTCTTCTCTGTCCTCTGGATGAGTGGAACTATGGAGCAAGTGATGTGGAAGTAAGGGGTGCAACAGCTGTAGAGACAATCAATAACACAGACAGTTCTGGACAGAACACATCACTCGTGCTCATGTGATGAGCTTGTCACATCCTAATCCCTCGCCCCATCCCGTTTCACTTTTGGGAAACTTTAACTGCTGGTGTCAGCTATTCTGATTCTAAAATAGGATCAGCCCTTTTACTACAACAGCCTTCTCTTTCTGTTTATTGCATCTATTCGTAACTTGTGAATAAAGGCAGGAAGAAGCCTAAAGAATTAAAACCTTTAAGAACTGTTGTAAGGGAATTTTCTTTTCTGAAACCATTTGTACAATTTTAATATCTATTTCAGGATTGTATTTAAAATATTTATTAGCAAACATACAGTACACAAGGCAACTTTTTGTTACCAAGACTGCAGTTCTTGAAGGGTTAATGGTATGTGATTTATACTGTGCCTTAATTGTTATGCTATTTAAAAAGAAATATTTATTTTGAAAGTTTTACTATGCTGCGCTCTAAAGAAAGCGACTTTAGATGTGACACTGTAAAATTATGTATTCATCTCATGGTATAAATTATTTAGTAGGCTTAGATGTAGCATATTAAATATTAACCTAATTAACTAAGGATGTTGACTTGGATTTATTTAATTTCAGTATGTGCACTGTATGAGGGTACTCTTAAATTAACACTTTTTTAGGTTTTTACATAAAACATTGCTAGTTTATTCTTTTTCCCCTCTACTAGTTAATTCATGTAGACCTCTCAAATACATTAGTGCCGTTTTCTCACTCATCTGTACGTAGACTGACTATTTTTCCCTTTGCTAGAAAATGCTGCTTTACATTGTCCTGTGAAACTACAATACTTGCAATTTTTATTCTTGACCGAAATGGAATTTAATATTTTACACTGTATTGGATTTTTTTTATACTTGAACAATTTCATACAAGGGAAGACAGGATAGCATTTTTATGGACTTTATCCAATGTCACTGGATTTATTTGAAGTATTCTGAATACTAGCCAGTGTTATAATGTAGACATGACTCTCCTGTGCATATTATTTATTCAGTATGTATATTGCTTTACAACATTTCAGATCTCTTAATCTATTCACTCGTATTAAAACAATAAAAAAAAATAATTGTCTCATCCTGTCTAGTGTTGTTCTTTCTCAAATAGTCTTAGATCTTGTTTAGTTAAAACTCAGGGGGCAACCTTTTATGTAGTTTTCCTGGTCTGTGGGATGAATAGCAGCATATACACAGACTTCAAATACATAGACTGATAGGAACTGTGTTACAGGGAGGAAAATCCTGAGAGCTACCATAAAATAATTCAGAGTGGAAGGGACTTTGGGGGGGTCCCAGGTTGCTTATGTCATTGTGCAGTCAGGTCTTTAAATTCCCCATGTGGGGACTGCACAACCCCTTTGGGTAATCTGTTCCACTACCTAATTATTCCCAAAGTGTCTTTTTTTTTTTTTTCCCCCCCTTCTATCTAGCCAGCACCTCCCCTGTTCATTTATAGCCTTCATCTCTCATTCTTTGGCAGAGAGCCCAGCCCTGTCTTCTCAGTAACCTCCTCTTAGGAAACTGGAAAATTGCTGTTCTCTTCCATAGGCTGAATAAACTCCAGTGCTTCAGCCTCTCCTCACAATTCTCGTGCTTCAACCTCCAGCCATCCTGCTGACCCTCCAATGGAGTTCAAATTCATCAGCAGCTTTCATGTACTGGGAGACTGAAGACAGGACCCACTATGCCAGCTGTGGTCTAATGAGTGCTGAGTAAAACAGAGTAATCAATTCCCTTGATCTGCCATCTGCTCTCCTGTTGATACAGTCTGATGCACTTTCACTGGTGCCAGAGTTTACCACTGACTCCTGTTCAGCCTGCCCCAAGCCTCCCATGTCCTTTTTAGCAGAGGTGCTAACCAAGCCCTGGGGGTCAGTCCATCTGAAGTAAAGAACTCTCTATTTGTCCTGACTGAATTTCATGATGTTCCTGTTGGCCTAGTCCTCTGGCAAGTGTAAATCCCTCTGAACGGCAGGTCTGATCTCCAGTATATCAATCCTACCCTCCATTAAGTATAATGACAGTACTGCATCCTATCTCTTCCTTCAAGTCATTGATAAAGGTATCAGACCAGACAGACCCACAAGGAACACTGTAACCAGCCTCTGGACACAGCATAAGCTCTTCTGACTAGTGATTCAGTTATTTTTTTGCCAAGCTAGAGTGGACCATCTAAAACTGGATACAAGGATTCTGTGAGAGGCATGGAAAGCCTTGCTAAACTCAAGGTAGACCACAGTGTCTGCTTTCCCCTCATTGAGAGATGAAGTCACCTCATCACAAGAGATAATTACTTTTGTAAATCCATCTGGCTGCTCCCAATCACCACCACCTGCCCACACATCACATGCCCAGAAATTTCTGCTAAGATTGCTCACTCCATCATTGTTTGGTAGGTTGCTAGGTTGTCCTTTCTGAAGATGGGTGCATCATCTGCCTTTCTGTGGTCATGGAAGACCTTCCCAGTCTCCATGACCTTTCAGAGATGATAGTGAGCAACCTCAGAATGACAACATCCTTGGGTGCAGCCCATCAGGTCCCATATGTGGATTGAGCTTCCGCAAGAGGTGCCTGAATCAATCCCCTTCCACACCTGACAGTTTCTTTGTCCTTGAACCCTTCCTACAATCACAAAGTAGTGTTATTAAAAACCTAAAGGTCAGGATACCTTTCTGCATATAGTACTTGAACTGGGAGGCATTGAAGTAGCTGCTCGGATCCAGCTGATGATGATTTTGTAACCTTTAGGACTACTCAACATTTCAAAATCAGTCCAGGCCACTAATGACCGAAAGAAGTTGCTACTTGATGTCTGAAAGAAGCCTGTGTGAAATACATGACAGTCTTGGTCAGATCTTTGAGGAATGGGAGGATGTTTATATAATCTTCATACTGAAATTCATTACTGCAGCTGTCACCCTTACAGTGACTTCAGCAGAAGCACAGGTTGACTGCAGAATTTGAGCTGTTCTTTCATCCTCAAAAAGGGTCTTTTTTTCATCTGTGAAAGAGGCAGCAGTGAAATTGAAGTGATAGAGAAGATTTTTCCTGGTCTTAGGGTCTCACTTCATTTCACTGTGGACAATTATGAAACTCAGTTGCCCAGAATTGGTACACTCACTAATATCCTGGGCTGATGCCGTCATGTTCTGTTCTTGATGAGTATTAAAGCCTGGCTGCTGAGAAGTGTTGCTGAACTGCCTTTTGCAACCTGACCTTGAGATCTGTGACCTAGCAGAGAGCACTGTAGTGCTCTCTCCGCTAAGAAGTGTGTAAATAGCCAGCAGGGAGGTGAGAAGAAAACAACAAATACCATTTTCTGCTCTTTTCTCCTATTTCCCTGCTCTGGTCTTGCTCCAAGGGGTTTGCCTAGACGACATGGTATCAAGTAGGAATTAGCATCAAAAGTCTCTTTGAAAGGAAGGCAGAGCACAGTGATGGTGCACTAACCTTTTATTTGACATAGGATGAAGAAATCATCTTCTCCCTCCTGATATATATGCCTGACAATGTCCTTGGGCCTTCTCTTACCTCTATCTGGAGGTAACAGACACCCCAGGGTAGGGCATGAAGGGGAATGCTTGCTGCCCTGGAGGGGTCTGTGTTGTGGTAAGCCACAACTGGGAACAGAATAAAAGTTTATGACTCAGTTTATAAAGGTCGATTGCATGCTGGCTCTATAACTTGACAGAATTAGTAACATCAGCAAAAATGTGAATGTGCAAGCTCCACTAACTAGCAAACCAAGCTTTAGGCATACAATATGAAGACTTACTCTTCTTTTTGACAAATGAATAACTGAACAGACCTTCTTACACAAAATACACCTTAGTAACATCTCCCATACATGAAATACCAATAATTCATATTATCAGGACCAAAATAAAACAACTGAGAAATATCATCATGCAAATGTGCAACACCTGAATACTCAGCGAAAATGTTATCATTTCACTTGAGAGATGGCATATATGCAAGCAGCAAGAAAATGCCCACCATCCAGTTTCCAGTTCTGTTTCCAAAACCTTCAGAAGAGATTGTATACTGAAAAGTGACCAGTGCTGGATTCCTTACAGAAGGAGGGAGAAGTTGAAACAAGGAACCATTGCTAAGGAATGTCTATATTAAAAAGGGTGTAATACCTTGAAAGGTTACATTGATGACCTGTACACCAGAATTGTAATTTTCCATTATATTTGTATTTTCCATTAACTACAGAACATAACTTGGCAGTTCATTGATGCTAATTTTTCTAGGATTTTTCAAACCTACGAAAGGACTATATTAGGATTAAATAATGATGCAACCATTCAAAGCACCTCTTAGTCTTTTTCAGCAGATACTAAGCCATTTTAAACTGAGCAATTCCCTACTTATGCTCAAAATCTTGTGAGAAAAAGCATTCCATTCTGAACCTATGTTTCAGTTTAAAAGAACCTGCATGTTTTACTGAATTGTCTTCTGTTCAATTTCAATTTTCCAAGTTTTTGTTATAAATAAACATGGAAGCAGTGTATTCAGATTGCCATGTAACTTTTGTGTTTTCCTGTGTGCTTGAACTTCAAACTATTAGGTTGTACTCCCTCAAACTAGCAATAATACAGGCTCTGAGCAAAATCTCAGGCACTTACTAAATTTTTAATGAAAAAATTATGAGCAAGTAAAAACTGAGGATTATAACAGAATTTGACCTTGTAATTATCACCAAAATACACACTGCTGTGAATGGGAAGAATGGAAAAATGCCAAAAAAGGAAAACCACTCAGCCTTACAATACATTTAATATTACAGCTTATTGACTAGTAAGATTACCTTGCAGGAGCCATGTAATAAGTTTACATCCAGGCATTTTTTGTTTATCCCTGAAAACAATGGTGAAATACTCTTTAAGCTGATTTATTACATTCATGCCACCATATTATTGGGCATAATGATCCTAAGGAACAAGATACTATTATATACTCCATTTAGGAAAACCAAGAAAACACCAGACGGTAGTAGCAACTAAAGATTTTTGAGGACCTTAAAAATGGCATGGTTATGTGTGAATTTACAAAATGTTTATTAGAACTGATGGTTGGGCTTTGTGGGCTTGTTTGCAGATATATTTTTTCCCTCTAAAGCTCAATATAAAATTATGAGAAAAAATAAACTTGCCGTAGTGTCAAAGAATAAGGAGAAAATAAATACGACTAAGTTCAAACATACAAATGTGGACATAGAACAACTATCAGCTTTTCTCAACATAAAGGAAATCAGCTTTGGAATATTCGCCAGTTTCTTGTGCTGACTTTGCTGAGATAAGCCATGAATTTGGCCTAGCTTGCACTATCGTTATTTTTGACCTAAACAGTCTGGGAATAGGGAGGAACCCCCCAAAGTCTGTTTCATCACCGAGCATCTGAAAGTCAAAAGATGCTATCCAAATTAACTGGTGAGAGGTCTCTGAAATTAATATATAATCTTTGGCTCGGTACCTTGTGTTAATCTTTGGACCATCCTTCACTGTGCCTGCTGCTTCTCCCTTCTCTAGATGTGGCTGTTGTGGGTGACGTGCTCCCCACTTCGATACAAGGCAAAGACTCTGGCAGGTGCCCTCTCACTTCCTACTTAAGACTTAAACTGGATAAGAAAACCCCATAGTTGTTCTCCTCAAAATTTATGAAATCTGGAAAAGTCTTCACAAAAGAGTTCTTTCTACTCACACTCACCTTCTTCTGAGTATGACAACTTCATCTGAACCAGAGAAAAAAGATGTCAAAATACCAAAACTGATAGAGGTAGGTCACAAGCAAAGCTCAGTGAATCCATCACCTGTCATTAGGCTGTTAAAAAAGTCACTGCACTTGTAAGGACATGAATTGATCTTTACCACACACTTGAAGAACAAAACACATTTTTATCCACTAATGCAGGCAAGGAATTTTGCCACCCTCTGAAAAACTTGTACTTTTTGTTGTTGCTGTTGTCTGGAATGGTAGTGATGACAAAAATAAGCCAAAGTTTAAAACCATGCAGTAAACAAAATTGTCTCCCAGAAAAAAAAAAAAAAAAAGGAAAAAAAAGGTAATTTTAAAAACATTTTGTGGTTTAATTATTTTTTAAAAACTATTTTAAAAATCATTTTTTTTAAAGCAAAATATCCCAGCATTTACAAGTATCAGAGCAGATTGTTCTTATTTTTTCATGACAAGAACTATTACAACTGAATGGCTTTCAACAGAAACACATCAGTGCATTTTCCAGCTGCTTCAAAGGAAGGACTGATTACTTGCTCAAGGCTGCAGATACCATGATGTTGCCAAAAACTGGGATTCCCTGGATATTTGTTCAACCTGCTGGAATTCATCTCCTAATTTGTTCACTGGCAATATTTCTGAATGAAGATAGAAATAATGAAAGTCTGGAGCAAAATCTTGTTTTCACTGAAAGTAGTCAGACAATTCGGGAATCATAGAATTGTTTAGCTTAGGAAAAGATATTTAAGTCATCAAGTTCAGCTGTACTATTTATGTGGACAAGTAAATGGGCAAGAACAACCCAAGCATAACCAAGCTGAAGCACAAGCTTTGTTTCAAGGTATTGCCAAAGCTTTCTGAGGTGATGGACAGTCCCAAATATAAGGTAACTTCTTCCTCACAGTAGCAACGAAGAACCTTAAAAGTGAGCTGCTCTCTTTGTCCAGTATGCTGTCTTCCTAGCCTTGGAAGATGGGAAGTAGCACATTAGTGAAATAAGGAATGTCCCCAGTTTCTGTTTCAATTACAGTTACAGAGTAGTGTGCATTCCTTTATATGGATATATGTTATGAACATTGTTTAAGGAAAATCTGTTCTTCATAAACCAAGTCCTATGTATCACAGAATGCAAGTTCATGCATTATTCTTTCTTGATTTTCATCAATATTGGCCTTTTATTTCCATTAGAGAACTACTTTATCAAGGAAACTCTTTTCTCATTTTCTGTAGACTGAATCCTCTCACTAACCTGAGCACCAGCATCATTTATATTGGTTTTCATGTAAGAGAGAGTAAAGAGATCTCCAGGCTTTACTCTTCTGCAAATGTCACCAGTTTCATGAACACTGCTGTGTCTTGAAACTGGTTTTCCTCTGACCTTATCAAGAATAGCAATTCTCCTGTCTATTCTAACGACACCTGGGATCTTGCCAAAAGAAATCAGAATCTAATGCAAAGCTCTGAGAACTGTGCCTGAGTGTGGAAACAGAAGGGTGCCCACCAGCCTTCAGAGGGCTGGTTTCAGGTGGAGCTGCCCCTGACATGGCTGCAGGAGCTCAGGGAAGTGGGTGCCTGAGAAGGGCACACCACAGTGGAAAGGCTTTCTTTTTGTGAATGCAGCGATTTGGCTTAATCAAGGCTAGTCAAAGGGCAAACAAAACAGCAGTGTAGTGTCTTTCTGGGAAAGGAGGCCTTGGTGCCCACTTTCAAAGCATGAAGCTGGCTTCAGAGATCCTGTGTCTTGTCATCAATATAATGCAAACCGTACGGAGCGCCTTGGCCTGATCCCGACAGTGGGAGTAGTGCTTGCCAGCAGTTCTCTAAGAATACAGGTTGGCAGAGATACAAACTGTGTGTGGAGGAACCTCAAGGAATCCGGTTTTCCTAAAGGCAGGAGAAGTAGGCACCCTCTCTACTGGATTCAAGATACAGTCTATTTGAAATGCAGCTGCACTGCATTAATGATCTTTGTTTCAGCAGGACAGCTTGGTTGCTAACTTGAGAGAGAACAGAATAGCAAGCTTTGGACACAATCAAGATGAGCTTGATATCCAGCCAGGGCCCAGACTGTAAATAGATCTGCATGAATATTCTCTGAGAGAACTGCTGGACGCCAGAGAGGTTTGCTTCAAAAGGGTAAGAAGTACAGTCTGCTCAGCGGCGGTGGAAGTGCCACTACTTGCAAACATCAAAATATTTCCATGGATTCTCAACATTTATTGTGCTATTTAATGTGGTTCTGAGGGTGGTACAATTGTCTGAAGTTTAAAAGCTGAGAGGAGATATTCCAGGTCTTAACTAGCCAAGAACAACAGTAGTTATTGCCCATTTGGTGACCCCTAAGGACAAAATATATGTACGCCAACATGAAAATAAATTGTTTTTCAGTGGGATGTTCTTCAGTCTAAGCACTGTTACCTTCAAAGTCTCAGGTTGTCAGTCATACAGGTAAAAGATTAAGTGATAGTAATTGACTTTTAATTCCTAATTCAGCAATGAGCTCAAGAAAAGAACTATTTTACTGCACTGTTCCCTGATCCTGGTATTCAGAGGATTACCTGTGTTTGCAAGACCACTTGACTACCCCAGAGTACAACTCATTAATGCCTTGTTTTTGAGCAGAGCAAGCTGCACATAAACCCTCCCAGCAGCACTGTGTTCTACCAGGCATTGAGTTGCTCAAACATCTGTATGGATTTAGTGAAAGGACAATTCTGCTGTTCAATGTGACATGCTAGAAAGAAGAAAGGGGCAGGAACATGTTCATGTTCGTAATGAACTTTGGGTCCTCTTCTGAGAATGACTTAGTGTAGAGAAGAGGAGGGGGGAAAAGAAATATTCAAGCGATGTTCTGTTGATTTCCCAGAGTTTGAACCAAACTATCAGTGGTGAAGTTTCTCAGGTTGTCCTCATTCCTGAGGAGGGGTAGAAAGCATTCCGCCTCAGGACTGTTTGAGAAACAGTAAGTTTTGAATAAGGTCACTCAAAGAGCATCACGGGGGGTACCCACACCACCTACAAATGGAAGTATCACACCCCATTTAAATGGAGCTGCCTAAGCACGCCTCTAATTTGTGGATTTTGTAGCAGCTCATCTGAATTTATAGGTGCATGCTGCTGATGTAGGAGGTCCTGAAAATTCAGTCTCCCCACCACTGCCTCATTTTAACTAAAAATACAACAGGCCAAGCCATTCTTCTTTCTGCAACTGAAATCCTCCTTCTTTCTCAAGGTTTACAGCTACATGAACCTGGGCAGCTTTCGTGGGGGGAAGTTCTCCTAAGTCACAAGGTGGTGCAAAGCCACTGACAAAGACCTTCTCAGGCTACAGGCTGAAAAGCAGGATGTGTAGAAGGCAGAGTTATTTCAACTATCAAAGGCAATGCACTGAAAAAACAACAGTGCCTCCCCCATTATTTCTCAAATCCATTATCTAATTTCTTTTCAGATAAGTGCACCTGCACTCATTTCTCATAAAGTTTTTGGGCTTTTTTTAAAGCAGAGGCCATCTGCATTTACACTAGAATGTAGAATAATAAATTGCTTAGTCTGCTGCTAATCATGGAGAAAATGAAAAAGGGACGATGAAATTTCTTATTCCAAGAGAAAAATTTACTTAAGCATAAAAAGTGCAACACTACATCTTATATGTAGAATTTCTTGCAAGTTTATGCTTCTGCCTAATTGTTCCTATTCGGTGTATAACATGTCAGAGGCTTCCAAAACAATAGATCTTATTTTAAAAGACACAGTTAAAGGCTTTCAGGTGATTGAAAATTTAACTAAATGCTTTCTTTAAAACCAATTAATTTGCACCATGAACATTTCTCCTCAGTCAGTCCAAGTATTTTTCCCTACCCCAGATAAGCAAAACTTTCCCTGAAACAGGGAAAGTGCTACCTGTGCTTTCTGTCTCATTTAGTATTTTATCAAAATAGATTGTAAATCTTTTGACCTGACTCTATTATTTTTCTTATTTAAAATATTTATTATAGGCTACATATTGAATTATATTTTAGCAATAATAAGTGGTAATCATTCAGATGTCTTTCAAAAAATTATCCCTATATTTTAATATGCATTTCTATACCCTCTCCTCCTTTCAATTTTCTCTATTATTTTAT